TCGTAATCGTAGGCATGACAGTATAACCACATGGGTCATTTCCCGCCATGGTCGGATACAGAGCAGCCTCATTGTTGCAATAGCACCAGCCAGGATCGTACTGATCAGGGCAAGCGTCGGGATCAGCACCATGGTAGCAGGAGGCGCTCGGTGCCGGAGGCGATGCGGATGTTGGACAAGGTGTTGTAGAAGGTTGATGCGTTCCATCCCCCTTCGAGTTCCACGGATTCTGGAACTGGCCCCCCCAGTCCACTGCTTCGTCACAAGATGCATCGCCAATTTGGTTCCCTGACGCCCTGGGATTAGCAAGCCGACTAGCGGACTGGACGTTGGGCTTCTGGTTTCACTTGCCAAAGGCATCGTATAGATAACCATCACTGTTGTAGTAGACATCGCCGTAGTCTTCGGGAAACGGAAATACACCTTTGCAGGTGGGCTCTCCAGTGGCCATTTGCTTGCTGTATTTGAAACCATCGAAAATCGTGACGGTATCGCAGTCTTTACAATCGTATGGATTGAGGGCTTCTGGAGCGCCGTCGTCGCTGGTGCCGCATGCGCTTGCGAGGCTGATGCCGCAGATGGGGATGGCAGCGGGGAAGCCGCCGACCATGTTTTTGGGATCGTACAGGTCGACGCAGTGGCCGTCTTCGATGTGCTGGTAGGCTGTTTAGCGGTGACTTTGATTGGAAGGAAGAAAGAGATACGTACTATGTACACTGCTGCGCCTATGTTGGCGAGCAAGAGGACAAGGTAGGATACGGCGAAATCCATGATGGCAATTTTCTGTATTTCGTGCTCGGGTTGACAGAGTCTTTCGTCAAGCAAAAGCTCCACTCAGGCGGGGGCCCGCAGTATTTTCTATACGAACATACCCTCTATATGCCTGGCATGCCGTCACTGGGACGCAGGTGGGGCCAAGTCTGTGTGCCTGGGGAAAGCCCAACGTTGGAGGTGAGGGTTAAACATGAAGCTATCCGAGTAGTCTCCATCTCTAATGGTTCATGTACTAGTACAGCATACGAACTTACGAAGGATAGGGTCAAAGGTAGCAAGGCTCGGTCGAAGTCATCTCCATGGTGAGGTACGGTAAGAGCGAGAGAGACCAATCTGTAAGATAGATGGACTGTTGAGGAGATTCTCAACCTCCTATAGAGAAAGACGTGTTGGCTTGTTAGAACGCCTCGGACAAAGCCAAGCCTTACTAAGTACCTAAGGTAAGGAAAGGTTGACGTTAAAAAAAAGGGGGCAGGTCTGCCGAGTGTGCAACTCCCCCAGCTCACCTACTCATAGGGCAAAGTAAAGCAGCAGCTCCAAGTCTCTTTGCCCACCAGTCCACAACGCAGCTGATGTTTACTAGGGCAGATTTGGACTGTTCATGAAAGATTAAGGGCTAGCAATACTTGTAACAGCATGCAGGTATGGTCTGACGTTGCAAAAGCCGTGTGAACAGCCAGTCAGCCACACGGTCGGCATCCAATACAGCGCAGCATCACCTTCCTCATGCTACAACCAGTTGGAATAGCATGGGCCTAGCACCCACAGGGCTAGATTCTATCAGCAATACAATCCTACATCGCTTCCTCGCCCTCACTCCCTTCAAGATGTGTAGATATTTCCGCCCACAGCGCGGCACCGTCCTCTTCATCTCTCGCAAGCATCAAGGCCGGATACTTTCCCGATGTCATCGAGGCACATAAGTTACAACCCATTGCCCAGCACATGTCGAACACGGTTCCGAACGTCTATTGTGCATCCAGGCGTAAAGAGTTGACCTACATCGTGATGGAGACGCTAGAGGGGGAAACGGTGGACCATCGATGGAAGCTGCGTACGAAAGACTCAAGAGCCCAAACATTGGACCAGCTGAAGGACATGATGCTGGAATGCGAAGTACCCCTCCTCCGCGAAGTAAGGGAGTCGCCAGTGTGTACGGTGGGACCATGAATGCCGGCTCTCTAGGCCAGCTACTGGGATTCGCTTTGGAATATCCAAAGATATCTCGAAATGTCATCTGTTGCTCAGAGCAGGTTGCGAGACGCACAATCATCCTGACGCCCGTCAGCCCATCGTCATGCCCGAGCAAGATGCATGGCCTATTTGTGCTACGCACATGAAGATGATATCGTTGGCATAGTCGAGTGGGAAACAGCAGGATGGTTTCCGTCGTACTAGAAATACACAACGGCGAGGAACGTCAAATCTCTTCTGACGAGAATAAGTCGATGGCTTTCTAGAGCCACAACCCAAGGCATTGGCTATGGGAAAGCTCCGTGAAATATGCTGTGGAGAATTAGGTGCGTAAATGACCCGCAGATGTTCTACTCATGGGCAATAATTCGCTTAAATATACGCACAATATATGCGAGACGTAAGAACTCCGACAATCAGCTCCCGAGCTCAAGCAAGTCAAACGTCGCCACCGTCAAGTCAGAAAGGTTTCTTTCCACCGAAGGAATAGTGGGCCTTCTCATTCTACATACACCGTCTTGGCGTAAGGGTCGGCTGAGTGGATAGTGTCAGCGCTTAGCATAGCACAACATTAGTCTAGGTCCTCGGCCAGCGAGGACATTCGACCCTGATATCCTCATGAATCATCGAGAAAGCCTCGAAACTCCTGCGCCTGCACTACTGCGTGGTGACTTAGGCTGAGCATCAAGCTGCGAGCAGGTCGTGCTGTGTGAGCTTTTTGTAAAGTAGTCCGTGTCTCAGCTTTGATACCATTCTTCAGCCATCAGCGGCGAGGACAATCTCTATGCGTTGAATTTTGAGGTCCCCAGCCGCAAATTTCGCCAGGAGTATGCCACTAGAAACTGGTACTCCTCAGTCATTGGGATACTCGTCTGCTATGTGCATACAATACGAAATCTTGCGACTCGAGCACATCCGCCCACTCAACAGTTCAACAGCTTTACCATCCACCCATGGAACGGTTTCACGCACTTTCTGAATTCCCGTCGGCCCCTGCCTTGTCCCACGTCCTGGTGCAGTGGGTTCTCGTTTGCATGGCAAAATCATCAAGACCCCCTAGTCTTCGCAAAGACATAATTTTCGAGAATGAATTTTCAGAACAGGATATTTGGTTGTAAAGTCTTCAATCAGCTCACGAATAACAACTGCGGCATTGAACAGTTCTTCGTAACTTCATTCGTTGTTGAGTTGTGATGATGTTTCAAGAAGGGATTTTGGTAGCCCAATCTTGTACCGTTGCGGCGAGAACCCTGTCAGGATAAGTGATACCCTTCTTGAAAAGGAAGGTGAGAACTGAAGAGGTCCAAATGTTGCCTTTTCAGCCTCTAAAGATGCTTCCTCGACCAGGCTGAATGTGACACATTTCCAGATCTCTTTGATGCCAGAATTCGCCGTTAGAACCGTCAAAGCAAGACCGGAAGCGTGTTACTCATCAGGGTCTTCTGCATACTTCGACTGACTGCTGAGGGCCCGGTGGATGCTTGTGCGGTCGCGTGGATTCGAACGCATCACCAAGTAGTGCTTTGCTCTCACCCAGCCATTTTCGTGCTGCACCCTAAGATCTGGTCTTTGAGCACGACGAGTGGCGCTGCGATCTTGCGGCCGGACCAAATTTCGACCACCAGATCAGGCGTGTCAGAATGGCCAGATTCGAGGCCGTCCAAGCAGTGAGCAGTGTTTGGACCAAGACCTTGGCATCATACAAAAAGGATCTTTCGGAAGGACCTTATTGTGGTGGAAGGAATCACCTCGCCAACAGATATCGCCAATCACATTAAGGATCTAGAATATATTGGTCGTCAGCCGGACAGAGGAGAACATTACTCTCGCCCTGGAGGAGTACCCTAGTATCATCATTGGCCACAAAGATATCGAAGCCGACATTCACTCCTATATCACGGCAGAGATCGAAAGAAGTCCGAGATTTCGAGGCAAATCGATTCACCAGAGAATGATCAGTGCTCTCTCATCAAGACACGGTGGAATGTTTCTATGGGCATACTTAATGATCAAAGAGTTGAGAGAACCTGGGACTGTGAGACAGGTGGATGATGCTTTGAGGAGTTTCCTGGGGGACTCGAGAAGATGCATGAAAGGACCATCACACGCCTAGACGCTACTCTAGGTAGTGCTCATCGACAGCTGGCGACTAAGATCTTGACGTAGATAGTATACGGTGTCAGACCTCTGCGGCTGGTGGAGCTCCAAGAGATCCTAAGTTTTGAGATCCGAGAAGGCAGGACAATTGGTCAACCGCCAGTCAACGATGATGATCTTTTGTACTCAGAGAAAGACATCGAACTAGCTTGTGGGGCGTTGGTGCTAAGCAAGAATGGTAATCTACAACTGATTCATCTGTCAACAAAGGAGATTCTGATGAAATGAAAAGACCTTCCCAAATGCTTTCTGATGACTCGCGTCTCGCCTTCTACGTGGACGCACCATGGGAGAACCCTCACATGACTCTATTTTGTATCTCCTCCTTAAGCACCCATCTGGATGGTATTGAATCCCTAATAAGACCCAACTTGGGGGCTGTATCGAGACTACAGATTACCAAAGATAGCTATGATTTGACAGACTTTGTCAAGAGGTCGCCATTCATCGACTACGCAAGTATCTCATGGCAGGCGCACCTGATAGACGGCAAAATCAGCCTCGAGTGCGAAAACATTATGTGTCGACTGCAGACATTGCTGACGTATGATTTGACGATTCTCTGTCGCGCTGCTTAAGAAGGAGGGAGGGCCGGGTTGGAATGTTGTTGGGGGGGCTTTTCCCCCCCCCCCCCCTTTTTTTTTTTTTCCCGGGGGGGGGGGGAAAAAAAAAAAAAAAAAAAAAAAAAAAAAAAAAAAAAAAAAAAAAAAAAAAATTTTTAAAAAAAACCCCCATTAAAAAAAAAAAAAAAAATTTTTTCCGGGGGAAAAAAAAAAAAAAAAAAAAAAATATAAAAAAAAATTTTTTTTTTTTTTTTTTTTTTTTTATAAAAAAAAAAAAAAAAAAATAAACGGGGTCTTCGTGACTCAATCAACATGCATCAACTGGCGAAGCACACAATTGCTGTTGCAATCACCGCATTTCCAATCCACGTCGCCCTTGCGACAGTCCATTTACAAGCGGGCGAAACTGGGGATGACCTGGTCCGTATTTTGTTTCTGCCGTATCTGTTACCAAAAGGCCCCCCCGTGATCAAGAATCATCGCGTGACGCTGAATCAGATCCTGACCAAGTTGGAGAAAGCTGCAAGAGCTGCAGATGCAGATATAGATGAGCTCTTTTTCACGAGAGATTTGGTGAGACATCCGAGGCAGAGAGCAGCGGCATGGATTCCGAAGGGGCCGCAGTCTTTGCCGATGAAGATGAAAGGGGGCGGTTTTGGCGCTAATGTAGAAGGGCGCGACGGAACTGAGTTGGAAGAGGCCGCAATTGCTGCAGATGGAGATGAAAGGGGAGTGCGCACTTTGATTTAGATATAGTGTAGGGAACTAGGGTTGGAAACTAGATTTTGATAACGTTTCAGAGCAGAGACGATAGCCATTCGAAGAGAGAGCTTGTAGACATAATCTGAGCTTTTCTTGCTGCGACAACACACTATACGTTTTATCGGCAACACCCCCTAATTCTTACAATACCCCCGCCAGCAGGTAGAAACAGTCTCGCGCTAACCGTGACGATCTTTCCACTATCATACAAAAATATCCTCCCCTTCCCACACTCACCATCGACATCCGCTCCATTGCTCCAAAACCCCCCCCTAAACAGTGCACGGGACGAAAGCGCCCAGCTTCCCCGTGTTCGTCAACTTGGTCGGGTCGTGCGTGATCATGCCGCAGTATGTGACCGAGTTGGCGCTGGCCGGCGCGAAGATGACCCGGTCCGGCTCCTTGGCGTTGTTGGGTCCCGTGGGCAGTTTGGTGTTCTTGTTCGGCACCCACGGGTTGGCGCCGTAGCGGAGCACGGGGTACTCCCAGAGACTGGTGACGCCGGCGCAGTTGGGGAAGGTGAGGCTCTCGTAGTTGTTGTAGATGTGGGGGTAGGCGCTTGAGCCTGGATTGGGGGAGAAGGGGTTGGGTTAGTGGGGGGTTCGTGTTTAAGGGTTTGGGTTTGAGGGGAGGGGGGGGATGGGGGCATGGAATGGAATGAATGGGTTGGATGGGAGGGACTCTTACCCATCTGTGTGGGAGGATTGGTCGTCGCCCATGCAGTGCCTTGGTTTATGGCAGCGAGGATGGCGCTTTCCGCAACGCCGTAGCCGAGGCAGGTCACGGTTCCTTGAGGCGGTGTGATTGGGACTACTCGCTTGTCGAGGGCGGGGCTCGTGTCGACGGGGACGGGTATGGCGGAGGAGAAGACGCTGGGTGCCAGGCACAGGGTGAGGCCTGCGGCGATGATGAACTGCATTCCGAAGACTGTGATTGTGTTGGGGGAAATGATTGGGTGGATGTGTTTCTTGGAGTGTGGATTGAGGCGGTTTGGGTAGGGTAGATGTGAGATGTGAGATGCTCTGGTTTGATGGATGAGATTGGATGGATGTGATGGGATAGATTAGAGTCCGGAAGAGAGCGCGTTATATATCGTTCAGATCTTGAGGTGCTGATGTCCTGCAACATCTTCAAAAGTTACAAGGCGCAGCGATACGTCATGAGGATTGATATTCGTCTCGCAACAAATCATTAGAAACTAATCATCGATCCTGCAACGTACAACACAACATAGACATATGGAAGTTGGTGAAGCTATGAGCATCATGTTGGAAGATATTACCATGTGGAAAAACGCAGCAGTAGCAAACAAACAACCCTGAGACAGTTGGTCACAACACCAGGATCTCCAACTCACAACGATTATGACGAAGTACACCTCCCTGATATAAGTGTACGGCAGAATTGGTGGCGGGGGAATGATGAACCAACAACTCGGTTTCAGGACACCGAAGGAAGGTTGCCATATGCTTGGACCCTGACCATGTGCGGCCACACTCGGAGGATGAATCTTGACCGAGAAAGACGGCTCGTTTTCACTCAACGTCGATCAGATCTGGCACAGGTTTGACTGCTGAAGGTGGATTTGTAGTGACATAAGCGTCTGAGCCTTCGATGTACTAATACTCGCAAGTGGGTGCACGACGATGGAATGCTGTTGTTGATTGCAATACGCTCACGCTGCAGCGAATTCGGCATTTACCCGGGCCCTCTAATATGGTCACACCTTCTTGGAAGGCGAGGCTCCGCCACCGGCTTCGTATCACCCAGTTTAGAGGGAGTATTTTCATCATTCCATTGTTGTGTGTAAAGCAAAGAAGAAGAGGGGACTATTTCGGGCCTAAGCCGGTGGGTGCTCATTTGCCGCGCGGGAGGGCTTAGTCGGCGCACAGCGGTCTTGGCGATGTGGTTAATTGCTTGGCATAACAATATCAATTTCCATTCCAATTCGTTTCAAGTCTCGAGGTTATGTAGCCGTAGGATTCGCAGATGTTGTTGGTTGGTCTTGATGGATTGTGTTTGGAGTGCGATGGTGGGCACAGTTGGTCGATCGATTCAAAACTAGAGGATTGTCCATGGCGCAGCCCCGGGAATAATCCAGCCCCCAGTAGTGACCCTACCTGCTGTGCATAGTGGATCTACCGAGGTACGATTGAGTGGCTTTGCTGTTGTTGCTGTAGAGAGCTGGGATTGGTTGTTGCGTCTACTGGGAGGAGTGAATGCAGATCATATCTGCCCCGTACTGCTGCCTGCCTTTGCACAGCCCCACTTTGGATTTCGCTTCCATTCCTCAACTTGGTCACTTCACTTCCCTACTTTCATAAAACCGCTGTTCATACCAACTGCCACCCCAGATTATTTCACAATCATCTTCCTCCATCACATACGCATTCTTTCCATCCGCTGCTTAATCGTCTCCAGCTATGTCTCCTACAGCCTATGATACCTGGCTGGTCGGCCTCAGAGAAGATAATGAGAGCATGCCCAGCATTGACGAACAACAAGCTTTCCTAGATTTTCTCAATCAAAAAACAACAGCACAGGAAGCCGCTTTGGCTTTTACACATGGGGTAACCAACGCGAAATACCAAGACCCAGAGAGCCTGTGGCTCTTACTCTGGCAAGCGGCCCAAGAGTGGCCGGAAACTCACCAATGTCTTGTCGAATTGCTAAAAGCCATCTCGCATCTGCCGCCTATCACACGGGAAGGCAAAGTTGGCGAGAACTCCGAATTGGAATATTGGAGCGGACTGCCAGAGTTCGAGTTTGGGCTGAGAGAGTATTGGGATGGTAAGGAGATATTTGACACCAACCCTTAAAAAAAACCCATCTAAATTTTCTCTTAGGACAAGCAACTCGCGTCATCTACAATGCGGAACCCGACATACACTCTGGTTTCATCAATCTCACCTCGTTCAACGCCCACCTTTTCCGCGACGAGGTCTTTCAGCTGGAGACTTGGGCCATAATGACACTGAGCATTGCTCTCGAGAAGGACTACGAAAGCCAATCGCATCTGCTCGACACATTCATCCCGGCAGCTGCTCAGTATATCCTGCAAACCGGCCCGGCTGTGTATAAATGCGACAAGGAAGTCATCTTTGCTGGTCCGTTATTAGAGAAGGCAAGAGAGAAGGGCCCAGTTGAGCGATGGGGGTTCTGGAAGGAGAGGTTTGCGTCAGTGCAGAATCGAGAGCATCTGAAGGACAGCACTCGAGCTATTGGGAAGGAGGTGGCAGATCGTATGGAGAAGATTGAAAAGGACTCTCATTAGTTTCAATTGTCTATCGCACCGTTGGTACCGCTCTAGAATATGCCACTGCTTGTGTAATAGCTTGCTCTACTATGATTGTTCCACTCCTGCTCTGATCCAAACAAAACTACACAAATTCTGCGGAGGCTCTGGTACGGACCATCTGAGTGTGTAATCGAATCAAAGAAATCCGGCGTCTCCTAAAGCCGCATTCGATGAGATATGTCTTGGCTCTGATGACCAAGCGTAGTAAACTCCGGAAACGAATTCTAAGTGCCAAAATTATCAGGAGCCAGAAGGACCAACTCACGCAGTAACATGATGATCAAGCTGTTCGACATGCTTGGATATGGTACAGTAGCGTGTGTGTGTGTGCGATTCCTGCTCGGAGGAAGGCTGAATGCCACGCTTAATCCTTCAGGAGTGAAGCCCCCACTCCGCATTACGACCATATTCGATTACGTACAACGTGGACTGAGTGTTTGTATGACGTATGATGACCCTTAGTTGAACATCTCCAAAATGAGCCCGGATCCTGCATGTTTCTGTTGTGCAATGTTGGCGGCAGTGATCTGAGGTGCGAAACTCGACACAGGGAGCTTACTGTTGTGTCCAACACTACTTGGACCTCGAAACCTGATCAAGGGTCTGAATGACATCAGTGATGTCAAGAAGGATCAGAGTAGAGATGGCCAAAAAGAGAGAAGCAGACACACAGCACATACGTGAAACCCGTGGTTGGTCGACAGGCTTTCAAATCGCCAACGAACACTGCCCAGTTACACTTCAGCTACTGGGGCAAACGCAATTTTCTCACACGAATGATGCAATGTGGATTGATTTGCGGTCTGCGAAACACCCTCCTGTGCCGAGTTGTGGCGTACGAGGGTTGGTCGCTGGTCCTGAATGTCGTTACAACGACCTCACAACAACGGAGGAAAAAAGTCAGCTCCTTTTTGCAAGTTTCAGAGAAAAATGTGAACCGGCAGTGTCACAGTTGAATCCTACAATCGCTCGTGATAGACACAGCCAGTATCTTCAACAATCAAGACGTCATGCTTGTGCTCAAGGGTGCAGACAAAAGATATAAAAGAAGGCCGTCGAACCTCAGTTCAACAGACATAAACACATTCCACAGACTCACACAACAAGAAGAACTATCTCACCGGAGCCATCAGATTCAAGTACCTCTATTTCAGCCGTTATTCGATATTTCAACAATTCATCTTTCAATCTCGTTTGATCATCAGAACATCACCAACGACAATCATGCATTCCTCAATCCTCACCATTCTTGCTGCTGGCAGCCTCTACCTGACCTCATCTTCAGCTGCACCCACCACCTCCCCACCGCCTGGCATCGGCGCAACTGTAAACCAACTCGACTCCAACGGCATGCTCCATTGGACTCCCGCAGCAAATGGCGGACGCACTACCACCATCGCCGCCGGACTCATCTCTCACGCCCATCAGCAACTGGCGGCCGGCAGCTCTCGAAAGCTGAAAGCCCGTGACGGCCCCAGCGCAGATGTCGGCGGCTGGACCAACCTCGGTCAGATCCAGGATTACGCCGCCTCGTACGCCTGCGAACAAAGCGGTGTTTATGGCGTCAGCACGACCATCGCAACCCACGTCACCGACGCCTGTACCGCTCTCCTGGCAACAGTGCCCGGCGCTCCCATTGCGGAAACCGCATGGCAAGTATACCAGTCGGCCGCCGGTCCGGGTGCCGACGGTGGCTCCGTGGGCACTGTTTTCCGCTACTTTACGAACACGGCGAGCGCGCCTGCGCTCACGCAGACTATCTGTACCACCGCTTTCACGGACCTGACGAGTACATTTTGTCAAGGAAAAGGGGATCATGGTGCGGATACGCAAGGTGGTGAGGTTAAGATTGGTACTGGGAATGACTATCTCATGGTTGGTTTCGACCCGAACGGTGCTTAAGCTGTGGTGGACGTTTGACTTGGAAGTCTCATAGATTGCAGTGTTGAGGGAGATTGGACAAAAGGGGTTGTGGATGATGGCGCACTGTCTTATGTACCATGTATTTGTACGAGAAGAGCTGGTCGCGCTGGCTTTCGCGATCTGACTCCCTTCAACATGAGCTCAGAAGACAGACTGTACAATAGAAGTTTCGAATTCGTTACGTTACATGAGTTTCTGCCCATATTCACTGGCTTACCACTTGCGTCTCGTCTTTTGTTCACCCAGGCCGAATGATAACTAACAGACCTGTAAACATGCCACAATGCTTCATCGATCTACCTGAATGACGTATGTGCATGTATCCTAGAGCACAGTCGTATTCGCCCAAGTCAAGCTCTCTGCCAAACGTCGCATCGCAGCAGCAGAGCAGACGGTGTAGTTCACTCCTCTAAAACGCAACTCCACTAAAGATAGGCGCCGTGACACTAACGTTTGCGGGCTTGGTAGAAAGCACAACTTTACCACAGCCACAATTTTTGAAACAGCTGAGATATTTCACCAGAACAAATGCTCCGTCAAGGGACAGTCAATGCAGCAACTAGAACGTTTAGAAAACACTATCCCATGCCGTAAAACGTGTCTCTTGGACTGAACGAGCTTTGTGTTTTGCACTTGCCAACACAAAGGGCTTTTCGTGGCGCTTGCCATGATGGTTGCCGCCCGCCAGGCCAGAAGGATTCTTTGGGGTTACAACCGCGGAATCCTTTCGATCCATCATTGGATTTCCTGTTTCAAAGTCTGCAGCTGTGGGAGGGGCGAAGCTTTCAACCTCTGTGTTGCATCCAATCTGTTCGCTGTCCCCACCCGGTGGGCGAAGGAAGGCAACATCTTTCTTGTTCCATCTATAATCCTGCAGTGTTATTTGCTCCTCTACATGCTCGTACCATAGAGGATGCGCCTTTCCGGTGGCAGAGAAGGTTGGATGTTACCTCACTCACTTGGTGCCATGTTCTTTACGCCTCAAAGGAGCCTTTACAAAGCCTTTTCCTCCGTCTATGAAGTCATCGACTTCCTATTCGAACCCTCATGTGGGGTTCGGGCGATCAAATCCGACCGAACATCTTAGATGTAGGTTACAGATCCTGAACCACCAACACTCTCAGGCTGAGCCTTGTCGCCGGTGAATCTGCTGCGTCTCACATTTGAAGTTGTTCTGTTGCTTCAGAAATGACGATCTTCTCGGCGCAGTCTTTCTCAGCATGTAGTCTTGTCAATATGTTTCCTGTTACAGCCTTTCGCGAGGCTGATCTCCTTCAAAGTCTTCAGGGAATTTATAACGTTCTTCCCCGTTCTCCTTTTTTAACGTTGCGCAGCTTAATTTCCTGGTAACGTTCCCTCAATGCCATTAGTTGAGTAATTCATAACAAGAAAATCCCATCGTCTTATCATACTAGCACGTCATGAACAGTCTACGGGCGGCCAAAATGTTTTTCGTCAACAGAACACCAGATGAACGACAAAGTCTGGGCTCTAGTGGCTATGGCGACAAAGGGGAAGGAAATTACCCTTCAGATATTAGCGAGACATCTGGAGACAGCCTCGAAGCAGGCTTCGTCAAACCAGGAAAAGTTAAGAAGCCTGGCTTAGGTAGAAGATTCACGGAATATGCTCGCGGACGGAAGACCTTTTTTGTCGACTGGAGCTCCGCTCAGCCTCGAAGCGTCTGGGCTATCATAACATCGGCGGTCCTAGGGACTGTCGTCATCCTGTACGTTCATCCTCCTGCTCTTTTTTCATTGGCGACTCGTAAAGGAAAGGATGGCTAAAACCCGACAGTGTCCTAACTGCTCTATTGATATATTTCAATATCCATCTACGAAGACAGATCCCCCGCAACGACATACAAAGGATCGTGGCTTCATGGGGAGCGCCGGGCTCTCCGACGCAAGCAGAAGCCCATTACCCCACGGACTTCAGCCGAGACATCACTCCAATCCCTTGCCATTCACACAATGACTACTGGCGCAAAGTGCCTCTATATGACGCGCTCGCGGCTGGATGTACGGGCGTAGAGGCCGATGTCTGGCTCACTGACGACGATCTCCTCGTTGGTCATTCAGCTGGCTCCTTAACATCCGCACGCTCTTTAACATCTCTCTACATCAATCCTTTAATATCAATCCTGGCCCATCAGAACCCGCCTCTCACATTCCAAAATACCACCACGGCTATCCCTGAATCCAACTCAACCCCCAGCAGCGCTTCTATCAACGGAGTTTTCGAAACCAATCCAGCAACTTCGCTCACCCTGCTCATCGACGTCAAAACAAACGGCACAGCCACCCTACCAGTCGTGCTCCAGCAGCTCGAACCCCTCCGATCCCGGGGTTATCTAACATACTTCAACGGCACCGCCGTCATCCCCGGCCCCATCACCGTCGTCGGCTCCGGCAATACCCCTTTCGACCTGCTCACCTCCAACACCACCTACCGCGACGTCTTCTTCGACGCCCCGCTGGACCAGCTCTGGGGCGAAACCGCCCCCGCCAACGCCTCGCTCTACACCTCGGACAACTCCTACTACGCGAGCGTGGACTTCGCGGCCGCGGTCGGGAAGCCGTGGCACGGCAGTTTGGAGCCGCAGCAGGTGGATACGATCTTGGGACAGGCGGGCGCGGCGGCGGCGAGGGGCTTGAGGGCGCGGTATTGGAACACGCCGGCTTGGCCGGTGGGCGTGAGGGATCACGTTTGGGACGTGCTGGAGAAGGAGGGCGTGGGGATGCTGAATGTGGATGATTTGGAGAGTGCCAGTCGGCGGAATTGGGGGGGTTGAAGCGCGGACTTGGGGTTCTGGCCTAGCGGCTGGGTGTGTGTGGTGAGAGCCTGGCGGAGGCGGAACGCTGCCGGTGCTGGGCAGAAGGCTAGGGCGAATATGGCCGGCGAAGAGATGTGGGAGATTGGCCTTGGATTCCAGTACGCCTATATAGGTTCTTGAAGACCGCACCGATAATGATTGTACTGAACAATGTTGTTAAGCCTCTCATATTTTATTACGTTTGCTCGATACCTTCAACCCCCGTCTGCTTCAGCGCCGTGGACTAACAAGCACTCAATCTCGCATGGTAACCGACCCACAGCGCCCATCGCGCCTGATTCCTCCACTGCCTCATCATCCGTCCGTCCATCCATCCATTGTCAAAATTCAGCTCAGGCAGAACAAGTGGTCTGTAGATTGCATGAATCATTTCATCCCAGAACTCTCCTGGGGCATGTCGTTGACCCCATACAACTCTGGTGATATAGCTGACACGTGGCTGAGAACCATATCCTGACATCCAGATCCATCACCACCTGCTCAAACCCATCTCAGGACCTCCAGAAAGCACCCTTTGTACGCCGTCGAAGATACGACTCGGTACTAACACGACCCTATCGCAACTTCTACCCTCAGACCTTCGTCCCTGATTCGTTTCATGTCTGTCGTACGTACGTACGTAGCATACTTTGAAACCTGGGCCTTCGATGTCACTGTGGCATTATCGAACTGCGCTCCCGTCCTGGCGGATTAATCGTGGATGCGCGCGGAATCGGTAAAGGGCTGTCGACGCTGTCGACCATGCCACTGAGGAAGCTGTGTTGTTCAACATCCCTTGTCAATTTCATTCCCTGGCTCTCACGGACCGCTAGTGCTGGATTTTTCCGCGTGTGATATGGTACATGCGCTGCGATTCCGGGATTTGCCGCCGTAAATTTCGAACGTGTAGGCGGCTCTTGGAGTCTGGCCGGGTGCAGAAGGTCACGTTGTTGAGTCGGTTTGCATCGATAGTGGAATATCGGGAACGCGTCCGACATGGACTGCGACTGTGCTCGCCTCTGCGCGCTGCACGGGACTTGGCATTAGAGGAATCGATTTCGTATTCTTGCCGGAATCTTTCCGAACGGTGCCACCGTTTTTTCAGTCGCTGACTGTGAGAGATTTTTTATGGTCTCTCGACATCAAGGGCGGTGGCTCGGCGCGCCATCTCCTCGAGAGGGGGGAGGGCCAATTACCTGCCAAGCACCTGTCGACGGCGGCTATCCCGTTATCGCTGCGTGATTCATGTCGTTGTCGTTGCGTGCATTGACGGAATCGGCGGATATGCTCGCGTTGCTGGATGCGCCTTGCACGACGAATGGGTCTTGCTGGTGGCAGAGCTCCGGCACCTAGTGAGCCAGCGCAAGCGGTGGCGACGAATAAATATGTAAGTTATGAGGTGAGCGTTGCTTCTATATGGCATCGCATATAGCTAGGAGATGAGGTGTAGGGAGGTAGAGAGGCTTTATGCAGCTGCCGAATCAGGTTTTGCATGAAACGGAGATAAGGAAGAGACCATTCCTGAAATGTACGTACAATTGGGTCCGTCTGCAGTGCCGTCGGAGTTGAGGAAGGATGTCTTTTGACACCAATTGTTTTCTGTCATAGAGTCCGCGCATTGGTCCGGGCCGCCTTGTAGTGGGTTGGAAAAATCATTGGGTTGGTCCAGGAGTCAAAGTGCTGCAAGTTCTGATGAGGTCCTTAGCTACGAAACAGGCACTCGTTCGGAGATAAAATTCATGTTACATTATATGGAGTGAAGGTCCTCGATAAAGATCTTGGAGTCAGCTTTGTCACAATAGAAGCCATTTTGAGCCTTGAATCACGTCTATGCAGCGGAGACTCCCAAGACATGACCCATGTATTATCCTTGGGCTGGAAGGAAAGACATCGAGATCGAAAGTACGTACCAGTATCCGCATTGCTCATCGTCATTGGTTGGCTTGTTGTTTGAAGTTGCGACCGCATTCTCCTTTTGAGGTACCATAGCTGTATGTGGCGCCATTGTTGAAAGTAGCAAGCGCCTTCTCTGTCGCATCCCTTTTTTGTACACCGTGTTCGTCCCGCTTTACCACGGTGGCAGAGAACGAGTAACTGATGGTGGTGGTCGCGGTCGCGGTCGCGGTCTTGGTATTCGTTATCGCGCATGAGTCCTCCATCTGAGAGCAGTCGCTGAAACGAGGGTTCGGCAATACTTTGCATGATGGAGAGCTGTAGACCTTGTGGTTGGCGTAACTGTTGGCGAAAGCCACTTCTCGACCGCAGAACCACTGCACATTGACATGGCAGATTGCACCACACTGCCCAGCTGTTGGTGAAATCCCTCTTTCCGAAATCTAGACATCAAGAGGGCCATACATTGTTTTCAAAAGTGAGTGTACTTGGGAGGACAGGTGGTGTATGCCTTATTAGGCGTTGTGTTTTCAGGATCCATGCCACTGCCACAAATGCCGTCTTGCCTAGCGACGTGGACGAAGGTTTCATCGAATCTCTTGACCAGCGCCGAGATCCTTAGAATATGCCAGAGATCAAGTGGCTTCCCGGACCAGAAGGCTCGGGTCCAGTGCGGTGGATATGTCCGGGAAGGCTGCGAGGAGTATCGATCGAAGCGTTTTGGCGAATCAGATGCGTGGGAACGAGTAGGAGCTGTACACGATACATGAAGGAACGATACGAGAGACGGTGGATAGGCAGTGGGAGAGATTTGTAGAGGTCGAGTTGTCTGGTTCGAGAGAGACCTGTGGGATCTTGCTGAGACTTTTAAGCCTGAGAGGAGACACGAATGATGAGCGCCAGAACGTTAGACACCCGCCATGATTGCTTCTGATGACCACGATGACGTCCATAGCCAGGTCACATTTGGCAAGGCAGACTGGTCACTGGGTAGGATGGGTGCCAAAGAGAGTGGAGACAGCACATGAGACCGCAAGCTCGTGGACCTTGACCATGTTTGTTGGACCTCCATGTCTTCATAGAGCTGTGGAATTGATCCCTGCAACAATCTCTGGCTGATGTCATCCCACTCCAACCCGATCCAGAGCCCACACGTCTATACTCAGCAGAATGGAAGGAGACCTTTGAAGTTACAGTGAGCTGTGACAGTAGCTCAAAACTTGTGAATCGTGTTATTCCCCATCGGCGCGCTCTCCCGACTGGTACGAGAGACAATGCGGTTACATACAGAGTAACGAACATAGTACACAACCTACTGGAACGAGAGAATCAGATCTTGCTTGTACTCTGAGTGTGACATACCATGGATACTGGAATATCATCAATTACGTCAAACAGAGGTACGCGTTGACCCTGAGCGTACGTTCAGACCCCCTGGCATTGTCACGAACCTTCGACCTGGCCTTCAGACTGTCTTGCATTGACAGATCTTCCAATCTCCTTTTCCCACCTTTGCTCCTTCTAAGCGGCTTCACCAAAGCATAATAGTATTCCATTCAATGCGCATACTGTCTCGTACTCTATCTGCTCAAGGCAATTCTGTCCGAGAGCCCAAGACATCGTCTTCCTTGGACAAAGGGAATTGAGTTCTTTCCCGCATTTTGCAGGCTACCAGTCACAATCACATTTCTTTGCGTCAGCGCCATGCGACTTCACTGTCTGCGAGGAATTGTAAGCACAACCAAAGAACCCTAAGCGTACATTTGAAGTTTGCTCGGGAGCTTTGAACATGCGCCACTATGAACTGTAATTATTGCGTGAGGAAGTGAGGGTTGTCGATGTCTTTACAAGCTCCCACACACAGTATTCATATGGTTGATCGTCTCAGGTATACAGCGTACCATTGCCGGTGAATTTATCCGAAAAGTTAAGACTAAGCCAGAATTACGGAGGGCGACTGACGCGCTTGTGCAGGTCGCGCAGATCCACCAGACTCAGTCACTCTTGATTTTCACTCTCCACACTCTTCTGATGAACATCTAGCAGCAGCGTTGCCAGCTACTTTGACAGCAGCCAGTGGGCCAATAGTAAGTCCAGATGGAGCATGCTTGCTCTGTATCTGCCTGAAACCTCTGGCACAATAGCATGACGTCCGCTGACCGCGTTTGCCCAGTACCCGGCCCTTTTCATCCATACAACCTTCTCCAGAGGCAAGATGCCTTGTTTCACCAATTCTCGAACGAAATAAATCTCGAGGTCCTCCAATACCTGCCACCGCCTGATCTCGGAAGCTACTACTGCGTGAACAAGCACCTGTACGCTGTGACGGCAATACATCGAATATCTTATCAACGCCTCAAGCGGAGGTTCTCAACCTCCTTGAATAGCAAGCAGCCCGGCTCCACGGCGAAACTTATCAAGAGTGTCTTGGCCGAGCCTCGAAGTATGCTCTACGTTCAGCATTATACCATTGATGGCTGCTGCGCTGGGTGGGGCAGGAGCGACGACCATTTCGATGATGGTGAGCTGGAGCACGTTGAATATACAGCTTCGGATGTGTCGTAATTCAAAATTGCTGTGCGAGGTTCCGAGTACATACCCAATGATGAGAGAGACTCATGGATTACAAGCCTCAAGGCGGGAGAGGAAGATGTTTTGATTGCGCTTGCTCTTACGCTCTTTCCCAATCTCACGTCTATCGATATTCAGGATCCACGCCTCACTCCGCGAGTTGAGAGGATGATTCGCCGCATGACAAATGCGATATACCCTGACATGGTTCCGTTGGCCAAACTGATCAGCGTAACCATCGGTACTTCTGACAGCAACTTTTGTATTGACCCTAAGACTATTGAACTATTTGCCACGCTACCATCGGTCCAGACCGTTAACGCCGCGTGGATTGGTGGCGAGATCGAGATACTTGAGAACATTGTGCCAACGAAAGGCTCAAATGTCACGGATCTGAACGTAATGTATGGGGATGTCCTGCCACAGCGCCTGATGCTTCTCCTACAAAGCTTTGGATTGTTCCTGTCTATCACGTATTGGCCTGCGAGTTCTCCTCATTTGGAGCATGACTTTGACCCTTTCTCGATTGTCACCAATCTATTGGCTTGCGCCCAGGACTCGCTCCGAGAACTCCAGATCTGAGCAGGGTCTACAACGAAGAAGTACATGGGCAGTCTATGTACATTTTGCATTTTAGAACACCTCGACACTGACACCATGATCCTTTTCGGAGACTCATATAGTCTAGTACAAAAACTTTCAAACTTCTTTTGCCACCATCCATACAAGAGGTCAAGCTCCATGGGGAACATCGCAACAATAACGCCCTTCGCCTGCGTCTTACCAGCCTTGTAGAATCCCGAGAAGTTTTCCCTAACCTTCGCGGCGTTCAGCTCTTTGAGACGGAATTGTCTTACAGTGAACAGGCCACGTCAAAGGACATGTGTGCGACAGTCAACATCTCTTTAGACTTTGTCTTTCTGGACAGTGAGGGAAGCAGAGAATGTCTCCCTCTTTATATTGATAAGGGAGAATGATTGCGCGGAGATTTCCGTGCAACCACCTCGGAACTCCGGAATACTGATCGGTAATCCGCATTCATAGAGTCAAATCACCGAAATCATTCGCCAAATTCTCAATTCGTTCAATTGTATTGAGCGCTCTTTTGGTTAACAACCCAGGAAGCTTCCCCTAAAATATGTAAAATCACAAATTTTGTTGATGTTTTGGGGGGGGGGGGTGTCTGTTCATTTTCTTCCTCGAATGTATTCATTTCGGCCTCTCAAAACACCATGCTTGCAAAGGAGCGAAAAAATTGTTTCCCGATGTGCCTGACTTAGGCTAAAAGGTCAGCTGTGGATGGTTTAAAAAGGCACATTCGTTCAAAGGACATTTTGGGCATTCTGATCAATTTTCTCTAGCGTCCCACCCCAAAAAAGCACAGCGGGACTTGCAATGATAGTAAGACAACGATACTCCATGGTAGGGCGTCACAGCTGAGTTGACGCTATTCTCAAACTAGACCAATCGAACGACACACATCCTCCGCATTCTATGTGCGCAACCACCCCCCTTTTCTTCCTGGCTCACCCCCTATCACGACCGCGCCGCCTCCCGAGCCTCCAACGCGCTCACCCTTGCCTCCAGGTTCTGCCATCGGGCTTCCAGACTCGGCTGCGCATTGCTATGGATACACAGTCAGCGGACACTCTTTACTGTAATAAGTAGGGTATACGTACGAAAACTTCCCTTCACTCGGTGACGGAGCACGAGGCGCATAGATTGGAGCGCTATACTGCTGCTGCTGCTGCTGCTGCTGCTGAGGGGGCGCATAGTGTTGTTGTTGATGATGATGTTGTTGTTGTTGTTGTTGTTCTTGGGGCGGAGCAAGATACTGCTGCTGCTGAGGGGGAGGGCTGGCTCCGTGCGACTCGTCCGCGGCGGCGGCGGCGAGCCGCTCGGAGGATTTCTTGTCTTTGTGGTTTTTGTAGCCTTTGTAGGCGGAGTAGGCGAGCATTGTGAGGAGGTAGAATGAATCAGTGAGTGAGTGAGTGAGTGGATTTGTCAAGAGGAGGGTCGAGGAAGTAAATGTGAGTGTGCTATGTGTGACGAGATCGTTTGAGTTGGGGCATACGGGCGAGTTATGTACTCATTGGGACGAACGACGATAGGGGCTGAAAGGAAATGATGCTCGTATTGCGAATGGCTGTGCAGAATATAACGTCTCATTTGGTGTGCATCTGTGCGACGGTTCACGAATTGGGCTCGCAGTGGCTGTGCTGTGCCTCGCTCGTGGAAAGTCTCGTCTCGCGATATCTTCCGAGACCGGCTTAGCGGTTGGGGCGTAAATCGAAAGTTTCGCCCGCAAAAACGTTATTGGAGTCCCGTATCTCGCTCCGTATCCATGCGCCGCACGCGATATCTTTTAGTGGCTTCCTAGGGTTCAAAAAGAGGTACTCCCTAGCGACGTTAGTCTTCGGATGGTGGGAGACAAGCATACCACATAAAAGCAAGCAAATGGACTGCAATCTCAAGACACATGTTGGTTTTGAGCGACGTCGTTTGCAAATTAACCTTGCATACATATGTTCAAGAATTGAGGCAATGGAATGTTAGACAGTTGTTCTCTTGTATGCAGTAATCGAACCTGATCGCTACCGGCGCCCCAACTCGTTCCGGGAGATTTGATGACTGCCGGCGGGTTGGTTCGGCATGATTATTACTTTCCCCCACGTTCGCTTGAGAGGACTACTACCTTGTGCCATGCTGCGTCTGAAGGCGATGAGTTCCATCGTTTGATTGCTGCTGATGTGTATTGCCAAGGTCGATGCAAAGTCGCCCAATGGGAAAGAGTGGATCAGTTCTAGCTGATAGAAAACAGGAGGTTTGCGAGATAATGCGTATGCGAACTGAGTGTGAGAAGGACTCAGGGATTGGTAGAACTCGTGGCTCTCTTTGATTATGGTAGGCAGTGATCCTTACCGATTCTTCCATCTCATGCTCTCTACTCACATTGATTCCATAATCGTCTTCAAGTTGCTTTGATTACATCTTTTTCAACACATCATTCCTGCCTTAACTCCATCAAATAACCTAAAAAATTATCTCTCATTACCTCAGCCCGGACTGGGTATTCCTTACAGCCATCTCAACCCCTACAGCAGCTCCAATCCATCGCAGGGAGCCTCTTGCAGTCGAGATCGAAGCGAAACATCTACACCGTGAGCGTCCTAACACTGATCTCCCAGTCCTCCGGGAGCGCCGACGAGTCCTAGCCTCGAAGCAGATGAAAGCCATCCAGGCAGCGCTTGGCGAAGACGACGAAGGTTACGTCGACTGGCTTCGCGGCGCCCGCCGGAGCTTTCCTTGGGAAGATTAACGCCTCGGCAGATACGTCTGTAGTGTGTATGCGTGCTCAGCGCTGGGATAGACACGGTTTGTTCACGGTTGACATGGAAGTGGGTTTTCCAAAGCGAACGTCATCCCAGGCACAAGCAATTCGCAAGGCAGAGGGAAGAGCGGCAGAGGGGGTGGTCTCGGGCGTTTGGACATGGCGGCTACTTATACGATCGTTGAACACTTGATGTGGAAAGCAGTCTTTAAAAGAATCCCAATCTAAACTTCGATTGGATGGGACAGGCTAATTAAACGTTGCTCGTAAGCGATCGCACCGCGTTAATGAAGTAAGATGAATCCGCTGACAAAAGCCCCATTTTGCTACCCATCTATCCCATGTCTTCGCAATCACCAGGCTTGCGATTCCTTTGCCACTCTCCTTCAGAGCATCACGGACGTTCTGAGCAATGCCGGGCGGAGTCACATTGGTCTAGGCAATCCCTCCACTAAGGCACAGACAAATGCAAGGGAGTCCGAAGAAAGGGAAGGTTAGAGTGTATTAACTGCCGGAAAGAAGTCTCTATCGCCATAGACTTGTATGGGACTTGTTTCTACGTCAGTGTCGGAAGTCATTCGGGATAGATCACTCTTGGAGACCTATCGGCAAGTCTTTTAGTCGGTAATTTCGAGCCTAGGACTCGTCCCGTTCGCGATACCGCGTGGCGTCTTCCACCATGTGCTCAGCTAGCCCGTCTAACATGTCATGCGTCAAATTCATGTCGGACAGGCAATAGACGTCCTTCAGGTAGTCGAGAGACTGTTGGGCTGGTTGACCTAATTTCAGACTCGGATGTCTCAGTGTAGGGTTATTCCACCAGTTGACCACGTAGTCCCCAATGGAGTGGAGAATTTTAAGGAATTCTCCGCTCCCGTGGTCGTGGTCATCGCGGTGCCCGTGACGTTGGGAGAGGTAAATCTGGTCTCCGCCATGAACCAGCAGAGACTCTGGAACTATATGGAAGGATGAAAGACAATTCGCGACCCGTAGGTACTCGACAATACCTTCCCATTGTCCGTCAAGGAGATTGATGTTGCCGAAGGCGAGGTGCCGTAGGCTTGGCATCTTCGTGATGAGCAGTGTTACTAGATCTTTGGTGCTGATCGCCAGATTTCCCACCGTGAATGTGGTTAACTGAGGCCAGTGGCCATTTTCGGGAAAGATCATTGGGTATGTAAAGAACCAAACTGGTTCATCGACACAGTCAACAGGGAGGGCCAGGTCGAATCGCTTCAAGGCCGTCATGGATTCGAGCATACGATGTAATCCATGCAGAGTTTCATAGAGTTTGACCATGGGCTCGCGGGAATATCCAGCAAGGGATAGCCTCAGATATCCGAGTCTACAGAATGCGCCAACCCCGTGATCCACATGAGTTTGTTGCTCGCCTGGTTCGGTGAGAAAGGCAGCAGTAGGAAGGGGCCCCTTGATTGAGAGATTCCGAATCCTAGTGTTTTTGACTCCCGAGAGGGCATGGGCGAGAGTCCAGAAGGCGTCGGATGTGCTGGATTCTTTGAGGGGCTCATCAGAATCAAATATGAAGTCTCCTGGATGCGCATGGAAGGGAAGCCATGATCCAGCCAGTGGAGAGCCTTGGCGGCCGGGCTTGTCTCCGGAATACCATCTATCGCTCAGCTTCACAGTCCTGAGCCGGCCAAACCTTCTCAGGCCGGTCACGAGTAGTTTGAAAAGAGTGTCTTCTTTAAGGCAGTTCTTCTCAAAAAGTGCTTGGTTGATCCACTTCTGATATCCCTCTTGGACAAAGGAAAAATCACACCATTGCGCCTGGACAGGTGCCGTTCTTCCTAGCCAGTCAAGCCAATTTTCTCGACGATCTCTGATCATGGTGATGAATTGACGGATATGGGGGTCAGGGACTTGGGAAACCCGTTCTGTGTCAAAGGCGATCACGGAGTTTTGTTGCCATAGTATCTCGAAGTATTGCGATATCGTTATGTCCGGCGAGAAACTGACGGCATCGTACTCGAGTTCCTTCACAAATTTACTCAACATATGATCTCGCGCGACAGCGGCGAAAATCTGAAGATTGAGCTTGTGAGGGGAGATGAAGAGCTTGGCAAATAGATACTCGGAAGCGCAGCCGGACCAGAGCTTGGAGACCAGTCGTGCGCTTTTGAGGTCTGCTTTGTTTATGTACTGTAGAGTTCCTAGTATAAGCTCGTTGGGAAGGCTCATGATGAATGACTTGTACCGTATCATACAGTGATGGGAGGAGCTTAAGACAATGATGAAGTGTGAACATTTTGTGTTTCGCTACTTATCATCTTAATTAGCGTCATCGGCAAACCTTCCCTGCACGGCTTGTGCTGCTCCGAATTTACCACTCACCGGAGCAATCCGATGGATTGGCTTGTCAAAGGCCTCTGTATCCAAAGGTCAGATCTTTGGCTCGTCTGATGGTCAGATGTAAAAAGAGTCATAGATGTCATATCCAGATCACCACCTCCATGTATCGTTTTCCTTGCCACCCTTCCCACATTCTCCTCAAAGCTCTCATCCTCCCCAAATGCATATCCTAAATGTAGTCCATCCTATATGCAGTCCTAGCATATCTTGGCACATAACCCCAGCTGACGGGGCACGAGACACTCGTAAGCCGTCCACAGATGCACCCATGTTTCGACTAGAGGATCAGACACCAGTCCCCACTACTCTACTTTAAAGGAAGAAGCAATCGAAGATGTATCTTGCTTGATTACGAATCCCAAAGCGGCCATGACCCTTCGTGCCGTCGTGACGCTTCTGACCGGCTCCCGATAGAGGCATGAATACGTGTCAGGGCAAGGTAGATATTCCGGAGAGGCAGACGCGACACTACTGCGGCAGGGACGGTGTGTGTTTCCTCGATGGCAGCGAGCAACTTGTCAATTTTTGCAAGACCGGCTTCGCCCACAACATGCTTTCCGGCAACATTCTTTCTCTTGTTCGAAGTTCCCTGGACGTGTGTGCAAATGTCGTAGCTGCAGTGGAAGCCCCAGTTTGGAAACCCTCTCCTGTGTCAAATCGTAGCTGGGATCGGCTTTCGGCAGGGCGTTCCATAACAGTATCTCCTGCCCAGCTGCAGTGTTGCGTGTGGCACGCACAATAAACAAGTCTCCAATGAAGCTGCGGCGTACGTTGCTGAAGCGACTATGATTGCTGTAAGATGTCTTAATGTAGAGGCCGCATGAAGGGTCGGGCTTCCCTCTCTCTGCTTTCGAAACTCCTCCTCCGCCGAAATTTGTCAGGGGGGATGCTCGAGAACTCTCACAGGCGATGAGAGAGAGAGAGAGAGTGCGATCGATGAGGAACCTAGACCGCATTCAAGCACCGAACAGTCGATTCAAGGGGCATAAGAACCTAGTTAGCATATGTATCGATCATTGGCATTCCATTCACTGCCTCTTCTTTGACCGGGTCGTGAGTACCGTGATGGAGAGACATTACAGCCAGATCAAGAGGAGGGTTTCGAAAGAGCTGATGTACCGAGTCTATAACGAGATCTGCTTTAATTCCATTGAGCGTGCTTTTACTCCTAAGACTTGTCGTGGATTTGTTGTCAAACAAGGAGTATCAGAACGCCTTTTCGCATAGTGGAGGGTCACGGGCAGCAACGTCTCGGGTGGCGAACAGACCATGACCGTGAGCTTCTGTCATCTTGATTGTCACCGGTCCTCCATGTGTTGCTTTGTCAAAGCACCCAGTCCTCCATTTGGCCAGCGATCGATTCAATTTGATGACTTGGGCTTCTTCCAATGTTGTCGCAACATGGACTGCAGCGCCGTAACTGATTACAAGTCAGTCTCATGACTCTCGCAGGCGGACGGAGCTATCCTCACAACTCAATGGCTTCAAGCAGCCTTCCCACCTTCAAAGCGTCATTGCTATTATCCTTCGATAGTGTTACCATCTTGGCAATACCATATGTACTCCGCCACTGGTGTCCGGTGTCTCTGTCTCTAGGTATCGCATCATGTGAGCTTTCACAACATCATCACGAGACTTCTGTTTCTCGAAGTTTCAGCTTGGTCAGCGTTTTCAGCGTCACTTGTCCCGTGTGGCTCCTCGAGTAACAAATCCTCATCACTTGCTTTGTCTTTGCTCATTGTCGGTGTTAGATTCAACGTTTCTATAGTTGGTGATAAAGACTGAAAGCAAGATGAGATGAATCAGAACTGCGCGGTTGGCTCAAGCCGAGCAGAAGCATCAAAGTCAGAAGTAGAACGATGTCGAGAGAACTTAGTTTAAGCTGGCCAACTGGCAGCGGTTACTTGCGAACTCGCTCTCGCGAGCAGACGCGAGGTGCGTACTGAAACAACTCCAATCACCAGTCACTCACATCGGACCTATAAGAATTGAACAGCTTTGCTACATGCAAAAATGAGTTCCCTGAGATCCTGAGATCAAGCTAGAGAATAGTATTGCCAGTTAGCATCTTAGCACAGCGCATTATAGATTCCGGAACATCCATAACTGTTTATCCAAGATTCCTACAATCCCCGTGTTCAAGTAGTATTCGCGCTACCTCACTATTACCTTTCTTGATTGCCTGAGTCAATACCGTCTTCCCTCCAGGTGGCTTCGCATTGAGATCAGCATTGTGCGCCAACAGCAGCCGCACCATCGACTCGTCACCCTTGGAGGCTGCATGCCACAACGCAGTCGTTCCACCGGGCGGTGTTGCATTGACATCAGCGCCATGCTGGAGAAGTAGGCCTGCAGTCGCCAAGTCTTGCCGAACAGCAGCGCGGTACATGGCCGCCGAGCCACCGGGAGGTTTGACGTCAACCTTGGCCCCGTTGCTCAGAAGCATGTGTACCACCTTCACATCACCCTGTTCCGCTGCGTGCCATAGCGTCGCGACTCCCCCAGGCGGTGTTGCGTCAACGTTGAGCTCTGGAGCATGCAACAGAGTTTCCAAGACCTGCTTGCGTCCTTTTGAGTATGCCACGAGCAGCGCTGGTTTGCCTCCGTCCGGCTTTGCATTAACGTTGGCTCCGTGTTCAAGCAACAACTCAACCATGTCCGTGTACCCCTTAGAGACTGCTGTGTACAGTGCCGTCTCTCCTGCAGGAGGTCTTGCTTCCAAATCTGGGTCCCCTTGCTCCAATAGCATCTTCAAGACCTCGAAATTCTTTTTTTCCACTGCGATGGTCAACGCCGGCTTTGCGCAGGGAGGGCGTGCGTTGGCGTTCGCGCCTTGGTCAAGGAGCAAGCCAATGAGCTTCGCATTTCCTTTCGAGACCGCCTCGTATAGCGCTTCGTCGAGGTGCGCACCCCCCTTGCCACTGGCCTCGGCTTTCTTGGTCTTGTTCCCTTTCTCTCCGCTTGTCCTTTCCTCATAGACTGACATTGGTGCCCGCCCTGGTCCATCTCTTACAGCATCTGCGCCAGTGGCCCAACCAGGATGATGAGTAATTTCGGATACCGTGGGGCTAGAGACTGAGCCCGATGTCCTTGGATTCGTGTCGTAGCGCGTATACGGGGGCGGAGGAGGGATCAACACCATCTTTTCGTCGAAAGCATGAGCTGGAAGAAGCTTGCGATGGTGTCTATTCTGGTGGTTGCTTCATTGGCCTCGATGCGGACCCGTTAATGAACAGGCAGGGCAGCACTCGGAGGTGAAGGTTCTCTTTGGCCTTGTGGGCCTTGTGGTGTAGGAAGAGTGCAGTATAGAGACTGCTTCTGTCTGGCTTATATAGCCATCGATCATGGAGACAGAGTCCCTACCAGGGAAGAGCGCAACTCAAGATACGAATCGTCCAATCAACTGCTGGAATTCTGTCGAAGACGGCCTGGCTTGGCGCACGGGGTAACATTGATCCTAGCCTCCTGCTTTCTCCGACGCCTCTCTGAGTCTCTCTCGCATTCGTCGTGCAGACTTGGTCTTGCCTAGATGGTCGTCGCTCTCTTACGCCTGCTGTTCCAAATCTGAGAGGCGGAGACTTCATGGTCTTGGCCGATGGGAAGCATAAAAGTAGGTATTCATAAATGCTGTCATGAACGAACGCGCGATTTTCCTCTCAGGTGCTGTCTTGGAGGCCTGATTAACTGGCTGGTGATCGGCCACAACAACGAAGCAAAACATTCATGATAACGAATATTGGATGTGCGCATATGTCTCGGTCATCATTATAGTCAGAAACAAGATCGGAGAAGCGCTGATCCAAGAGGCAATAGCAATTTCACTTGATCACCTTCTTTCGTCAAGCTATATGATATGCTCTCTTGCTCCCATCAATACCATCCATCTTCTCAGTGTATAGTACAATTAAAGAATAGATAAGGACTGTGATGGCTGCTTCGACGCATGGCTGCATCCATGCAAATTAATTCTTTCTCTTGGGTTGGTCAGAGAGCTAACATGGGATCAGTGCATTATTGGTTGCTGCTTCCCAACTCATTTCATTGGGCTATTCCACTATTATACATTGCAGAGCGGACAACTTTCTCCTCAATACCCTTCTACCTGCTATTGATCAAGCCTCTCACCAGTGCTCCGTTGCCTCACAAAGACATGCCACTAACCGACCTTGTCAAGACTTTCACATCCGCGTCCTTCTCCTCTATCTCCACACATCCCTTCTTCATCTGCTTCTCATCCACCGTCTCAACAACCCCACGCTCCTGCTGCTCGCTCTCCGTCTCATCGCTCAAATTGGCAGCCAAACTCTCTCTCTCCTTCTTCTCCCGAGACTTGCGAATCACCAAGCTGACCAGGAAGTGGATCGGACCACGGCAAGGTCGTCTTCGGCAGCCAGAACCGTGACCTCCACAGCGTGATTGCACAGAGATAGGCAATGGAGTCGATTTCGATGGCTGCGGGTCGGTCATCGCGGCGTAGGCCGGGAGGACATCATGATGGGTATTATTGATAGACGGCTTGGCGGTGTGTTTGGCGGGACAGTGGCAGCGGTGGCGAGGAGCTGGTTTGTGGCAGGTTGAGCAGCGAGGACCGCGGTTCTTGTGGCACATATTGGCGGATTGATGTTTGGTGGTGAGATTGAACTTGGTCGATATGGTTAGAAGGTCAAGGTATCTGTCGTTCGAAGCTGAAAGACTGAGACTCGTTCTGTCTGTTTAATTTCAAGGCGGGTTTGGATTTCGGAGTGGATGATGCTGCATTACTGGTGGGATTCGAGCTCCTCTATATACATAATTTCCAACAAGCGGTATCTACAGAAGACACGAAAGACGGCGCAACCCATCAACCTGTGCATTTGCCTGACCAAGCTTCATTGCGTATGGAATGTGCGACTTGAAGCTGGAGCCGGCGAAATATCAGCCCGAGTCCATTCTTGGCGGGCTTGGCGTTGGACCTCATTTGCGACAGTGCCGATTTGCCGGCGGAATCCGGGTATCCTTCCTCCGCTTCAATCGCTGTACTCTACAGCCTTGAGCGGGCCGATTGCAGGTATCAGTATATATAATAGAATAAGGTAGGGCTGAACTAGAAAACCTTGAATTTGTATGTGCAGCCAATCATCAATTCGGGGTTATTACGCCTTTTGGCTAGACCGGCTGAGTCATCGCGGGTAAATTAATTAGCGTCCGCAACCATCAAAATCTCGCCTTCCCGCGCCTCCCTCATCAAAAAAATAGGCGTACATTATTAACATATAGAATAACTTTTTTGTTTTCTATTAAAATTTTGAGATTTTTTTTTAAAATTTTGAAGCGCTGTTTGCGCGTTCCGAATTTTTAAGAATTTTGAAATTTAGTCTTATAACTATTAAAGCGCAAGGAATTCAAATATCGCTCACCAAAGTTCGCTCATCAAAGATCGCTCACCTACTTACTCGATAGCCCTAATCAAAAAAATGATTATGAATTTAATTCATAGGCCTTTACAGAGGTCTGCACCGAAAGTCCTGCACATGCGCTAAAACTCTTGGCGTTCTTGGCATTCTTCGGCAATTTAACAAATTTCTTAAATAGCTTCATTTTTTATTGATGATTCTTTATATAACTACGTATATACTTATTAACTCGCTTATTTGAATTATATGGTCGTATATTCCCTTTAAAACGGCCTTCCCTATACTCGTTACCGTCTTTTAAACGAATAACTTCAGCAATATATCTGAGTATACGTTCTATCTACTTCTAAATCCTCTCTTATAAAAGATATTTTTAGTAATAAGTTTATCGCTTTTTAGACTTCTGTAATGGCCGTAACGATCTTCGCTATAATATTATATTCGATTAAAATAAGTATCTAAAGTCTGATTCCGTCGTTATGATTAATACTCTAAGTATTAAATATATTAGAATTAAAGAGTAATAAGAAGATATCTACTTACTATACTGGATATATACTAAATATATACTAAAATTCTTTATATTCTCTCTCTATTCCTCTATTTCTCTATTAGCGCAAGTATATATAGCATTAATATCGCTGCTATCGCTATAATGCATATAGTAATATCGTAATTATATACCCCGTACCTGTTATTACTAGAAAACGCAGTTTACTAGGAAATGCAGTTTTTTAAAATCCGATAAATCCGGCGCAATACTCAAATGCCTACTTTCTATTAAAATATGACCTGGCCTACTCTAACGCATTGAAATCTATATTCTAAAGAGTATAAATTATAGGGGGTATTCTATAGTGTAGTTCTGAATTTAAATAATATGAATTAATTTATTATTAGCTGAGTAATAGTTAACGAAAGGATTTAGAATTATCTATCTTAACTATAGCTTACTTTCTTATTAATAGTAATAACTTTATAGTAATTATAGAAGCTTTATATCTATAGATATCGTGATTGATATATACTATTATCTATTATTCGAGTTTAAGACTAAGTGATTAATGAGGTAGTAAAATAGCTAGGGACGAAAAAGCTCGCTTAGCTATTAGCGAGTAAATATTATATTTAATATTAATGTCTACTTTATAGTAGCTAGACTTACTTATTATAGTGAATTTAACTTATAAAAGTAGCTGTATGCCTGTGTAGACCGTAAGATATATATTATTATTATGCTCAGTTATTATAGAAATTTGATGGTGGGCATTTTGATGTTACGTCGGATTTATCGGATTTTAAAAAACTGCATTTCCTAGTAAACTGCGTTTCCTAGTGATAACAGGTATATATGCAGTAATATCGCTACTATGTATTATATATGTATACATTATATGTAGTAAGCATTGATATCGCTACTATGCAAAGCATTGATATTCAAGATATTGAGAATATTTGCCAAGAATGCCAAGGATGCCAAGAGTTTTAGCGCATGTGCAGGACTTTCGGTGCAGACCTCTGTACTCGTATCATATATCAGACTTAGCAACGACCACCTCTTTCTTCTCTAAAGACGGACAAATTCTTCTTAACTGTATCCTAGTGAGCGCGACGGAATTTGCGAACCCTCCGCCCAGTCTGATGTCGATCGATGCGAAGTTCCCAGACTCCACCAATTGTGGCGGTTCAATGATTCAGTGAGAAGACCAAACCCCCAAAAAGAGGTTAAGAGCTGGCCGGATGCCAACGTCTCGTCTACTGATTAAACAATTTCTGATGCACATGCCCAATTCTGAGCGATCCTCGCAAGCTTGACCACGATATCCCGAAGCCCAACATCCGTATAATCAATCCCCGCCTCCATCCCCAAGTATATATCTCTCCCAACGGTACAGAATCTCACCAACTCAATCGCCTCCAGCACCATCTCCCACGTCAGGTTCGGCTCCTCCCTCGCCTTGAGGTCTTTAACGTGTATCGGCAGGTCGGCTCGATTGTAACGGTATCGTCCCAGTGGCGGGTCAATGCGTTGCTGGCCGAAGCCCAAGTCAAGCTGCACTTCGACTTGGCGTTTCGCGCCGAAGAGGAGGGCGGAGATGCCGGAGCGGGAGAGGTCGGAGAGCCTTACTCGTACTCGTCAATGGAAGGTTTGCCGAGGACCCTGCCGAGTTCTCCCCACAGTGGCTTTCATTCGATTTCGTCCCCTCGAACCTCCTCGACACTGCTGAGTCCCGGAACATACATCTCCCATTCATCTCCTACTTTCTCTTCCCTAGGCTGCTCCTAATTAGCATATTCCCTAGCATGTGCCCTATCTCATACGAACATGGTGGCATCTAATGCTACGGAAGTGCTTCAGCATAGCACTTACCAGCAATACAAGAAAAATACTTCAACACTCATTCGATGGATCGTAACCACAGCTTCTTCATGCGCCATTCCTATCGCTCCCAAGCCAATCAACAATAATCCAAAGCACAAGAGAAAGGCAGCAAAGAATGCTCGAACTGAGAATGCGAAAGCCTTCCCCTCCGAGATTAGTACATCGAAACTCGTATCGCTCTCGACCGCAATCGCAGAGGCGGAGCAGCCCGTGCCAGACGCTATCTATGTTCTCTTTGACTCGGTGATTGGTGCTCGGACTGCTGCGCACGACATCTGGAAGGCTCTATCTATCAATCACCCAGATCCAGATGTGGAGAAGAGCAATGAGGGTCATTGGGCGTTCATAGTAGCGTTGAGATCCGCATTCGACGCCCTCGGCGGTGCTATCTGGAGGAAAAGTCATGAAGATGATCGGAATGCCAAGAGGAATGCTAGGGAAGAGGAAAGATCTAAAGCTCTTGCTACATTGAAATCTGAGGCCGGGCCAGAAGGCGTAGATCCAGCGTTTGAATTTATGAACAAATTTGATGGCCTAGATGTTCAGAGCTTGCCAATCGAAGACGAGGCGGTATTGGACGAATTGGCAACGCAAGGCGCCTCGCCAACCACGGAAGTGACAGCTACCGATCACCCAGCACCAGCAGCAGCGAAAGGCAAGCGGAAGGGCAAGTCCAGCCGTGTTCCTACGGAGCCTTTGGACAAATACAAGGTCAAATCGGAAACAGAAGCCTACTTTGCCGTATGCTTCTTCGTCAGAGATGTCATGCACCTCAGGAAGTAAGGCCGTCTCTGCATTGACTTAAGAGTCTGCTGACGTGCCTAGGTACATGAGAAACATCTGGCGTCAAGTTGGTTTAGGCCAGTTGCACTGTGCAGTCGCTGGAGCGTTAAGTAATCTGGCCGTCGGCATGATGCGGTCACTGCAGTACGAGCTGGCCATGGACTATCCCGCATGCACCCATTTCTGCGAGATAATTTACCAGCTAGTCCGAAATGGTGACTACGTGATCATTGGAGCCACAGCGCCCTCGAGTACAACAGCAAAGAGCAAGGTGAGTTCGAAGCAAGTTGCGCTTAACGCAAAGGGAGACATGGGCGCGATCGAGGAATCGTTGCTCCTCACAATCCACAACGATCTTGTGAGCTTTGTCACCGACTACCGCAAGAACCGCAACGGCAAGCCTAGCTCTAAGTTTGCGAAGATGAGCTGGAACCCGAATTTCAGAGACACACAGTTCACCATTGCTGCGGAGATGACACCCCAGAACATCCGCAAATGGAAAGCAGACTATACGATTTCCTGGCTGTACGATCTTGTAAACACGTATGCCATGGAGAGACTCATCAAGGGCAAGTCACAGATGCAAAATCCCGAGAATTTGGATTGGAAGATTGAGGACTCGGTCGAATGCGAATGGACAAACCGACCTCTCTGGGGGCCAATGGATTTTGCACGCGACTTGACGGTTCTAGCAATGCAAAAGCCTGGCGCTCCAATTGAATCAGAACTGAAGCCACACCATATTTTGCAACTTCAGATCGCAGTTGATTCCATGTTCTGCGCCAAGCGATGGGCCGCTCAGGACGTACCTCCAATTGATTGCTTTGGGTCGACTAGCTCGACGCTTGTTTGGGACTTTGCCAATGACGTCGTGGAGATACGAAGCTTTCGCGAACAGTGGGTCGAGG